AAAAAGTACGTTTGAATCGCGTGTATAAAAGGACCAGGTGATGTTTGGTTAATAGTCATTTTTTCATTTCAAACCCAATAAAATGTTCTATTTATCGATCATTCTACTTCTCACATTGATTAGTCTTGCAGTTTATTATGTTTTTCTTCTACAGCAACGTTACCAATACTTTCGTCGACGTGGTATTCCAACACCACCTTTCCGCTTTTTCTTTGGACATATGAAAACGTTATGGAATGTTCCATCTTTTCATCGTCAGCTTGAAAACTGGACAAAACAATATGGTAAAATTTATGGGATTTATCAAGGAACTACGCCTACTTTTGTCGTTAGTGATGCTGATTTTCTTCAAGAAGTTTTTGTCAAACAATTTCTCAATTTTCCTTCACGAAGACAAGTTTTAGGAGGTAGTAGACTTAGAAATGTTTTTAATGCATCAGGTGCAACATGGCGTCGACATCGTCACGTTATCAATCCAACATTTTCAGCAGCAAAATTAAAAATGATGAGTCCACTTATCAATGGATGTATCACAAATGTTATGGATAAATTAAAAGATCATGCTGAAAATGGTAATGATTTCAATATTTATACATATTATAAAAGAATGACAATGGATGTTATATGTAAGTGTATATATTTGTACGAATTGATCTATTTGTAATTAGTATTATATAGGTCGATGTGCATTTGGTATTGATACTGATTTACAAAATAATCCAGATAATATCTATTTTAAGAAAGTGGAAGAGATCTTTGTTCGAAGTATAAGATCAAATAGCTTTTTTAGACTTTCTCAATTGTTACCTGAACTGGCGTATATTATTGGAAAAGTTTTTTTTGGTATTAATATGGTACGAGCATTTATTAATATTCATATTTTATCTTTAATATCAAAAAAAGAATTACCTGAACTTCCGAGTATATGGCTTTTCAATCGATTACATCCAATTATTGAACAAAGACAGAAAACACCAACTTCACGAGTCGATGTTTTACAATTGATGATGCAAGTAATGACTGATGAAAAAATTCATGTAAGTTTAATTTACAAGCAATTTTAATGATTAGATAACTGTAAATCTTTTAGGATGATGTACAAGATACTAGTAAAGCTAATTATCGATTAGTAAAAGGAGAAATTATTAGTAATATTATTGTTTTTATGGCAGCTGGATATGAAACAACATCAACAGCATTAGCCTATGCAACATATGAACTTGCTAGGCATCCAGAAGTTCTTGAAAAAATTCAGGCAGAAATTGACCAACTTCCATTAAGCAATGATGATGATGATGATGATTCGAATGATGAAATGAAAAAATATCCTGATTATGATATAGTTGCACAGATGCCTTATATGGATATGTTTGTTTCGGAAGTTTTAAGAATGTATCCTATTGCTAATACTGCAGTTCAAAGACGTACTGCCGAAAATACAGTCGTACAAGGAATTTCAATTGAAAAAGGTAATTAGAAATCTTTGTGATATTAGACAACACTTTGATTTGCTGTTTTCTAGGCACTTTAATACATACAGATATCTTCTCAGTTCATTATGATCCTGAACTTTGGGGACCGGAAGATCCGTATGTTTTTTATCCTGAACGTCATCAAGTAAAACGTCATCCAATGGCTTATTTACCATTCGGAGCAGGACCAAGACAATGTATTGGTATGCGTTTTGCATTAATCGAGATGAAAATTCTATTAGTACGATTACTTCGTGAATATTGTATTCTTCCCGGTGAAGAGCTTCAAAGTAAATTCAATATTCGTGAACGAACTGTCATCGCGCCAGAAGAAGTTTGGATCAAATTAGTACCAAGAAATGTTTAAGATAGAATATGTATATATGTCATCTTTGAAAAGAAATAGAAACTGTATAGAAATCATTTTTTCATAAATAATCTTGTTTTGTAACGATAGTATTAAGCCATTTATTATTAAATAACTTTTTTTTTCTTCGCAATAACATTTTTAATTTCTCCATGATAATAGAGTGTGGGTGTGAATGTAATATAAATATGATACCCACACCCTTCATTCTATTACAATCATTTCGATGAAAACTTAAAACAATGTTTATGATATAAAAGATGACGAACATATGACTCACTCTTCACATAAGCGTTATCAACTTGGATTTTTACTTTTGTTATCTCTCAATATTAAATATATAAACCAAACATTTCTACAAAAGTCAAAACAAATATTCTACTTCCCAGTATGCTGTGAGACCAACAAAATCAACAACAACTTATTTCTCTCAAACGAGTGAATGTTGCAGCAACGATTCGATCTTTTGCTGCTGATGTAACTATTACACAACTCTTTCGCAATGAAGAAACAACACCCATTGAAGCAGTGTATTGTTTTCCAATCGAAGAACAAGCAGCTATTTATAGTTTTATAGCACGTATCGATGATCGAGAAATTACTGCTCAATTAAAAGAGAAAAAAACAGCTCAGAAAGAATACAGTGAAGCATTACAAGCAGGTCATGGTGCTTATTTATTAGAACAAGATGAAAATTCACAAGATAATTTCGTCATCAATGTTGGTGCACTTCCACCTGGTAAAGAATGTGAAATTGTTATTTCGTATGTTACTGAACTAAATCTTGTTGAAAATGGTACGAAGATTCGATTTGTTATACCAACAACTATTGCACCTCGTTATAATCCTGGAATAGGTGATATTAGTTCACCAGCTAGTACTACATCAAAATATATTCAATCTGTACCATATACGATTGATTTTCGTTGTCAAATTGAAAAAATTGGTATTGCTTCTGTTAGTTCTGTATCACATCCAATTCGAATGGATTTGAGTCAGACAGATTTTTATATCATTACATTTGCTCAGCAAAATACTCAATTAGAACGAGATATTATGTTAGATATGGAATTGATTGAAAACCACTCGAACACAGTTTTAGCTGTTGAAACCAATGCAATTATGGCTTCATTTACACCAAGTGAAGAAGATTGTCAACGTGTCATAAATAATACTGATCTTACGAATGAATTTATTTTTGTTGTTGATTGTAGTGGTTCAATGGACGATGAAAATAAGATTGAACTGGCTCGACAAGCAATGTTACTCTTTCTCAAGAGTCTTCCAGTGAATTGTTATTTCAATATAATTCGATTTGGTAGTGATCATCAAGGTTTATTTTCAGAAATTACTGCTATATATAATGAAGTGAATGCACAAAAAGCTGAACAACTCACTAAGACGATGAGAGCAGATTTAGGTGGTACTGAATTAGTGAGTATATCTTCATCTTTCATTTATTTCGATAACTGTGTTTGTTTAGTTACCACCTCTAGAATGGCTTGATAAAAATCCACCAATTCAAGACCGTGCGCGTCAAATATTTCTTCTTACTGATGGTGAAGTCTCAAATGTAGATGAAGTGGTTGATCTTTGTCGAACGATGGCTACATCAACTCGAATCTTTTCATTTGGATTAGGTTCTTCTCCTAGTCGTTCACTTGTGAAAGGTTTAGCACGAGCAACAAATGGTCGATTTGTTTTTATTTCTCCTCACACCAGTGTTGATGTACATGTTGGTGAACAATTACGAAAAGCATTACAACCTTGTATTACTAATGTATAAGTACAATGGTCTTTAGGAACAGAAGCGATCATAACTGCCCCGACAAATATTCCACCAGTTTATGCTAATGATTATATAATTGTTTATGCTCTTATACAAAAGAAATCGATTCGATTCGATCATTATTCAACTGTTATATTAACAGCTGAACAATTTCAATTAGGTAGAGCGAAAGTAACATATACACCTGCTGTAAGTAATAATAAGATGATTGCTCGATTAGCTGCTAAAGCACTTATTCTTGAATTACAACACCAAAAACTACCATCATCAACACAAAAAAAGAAACGAAATTTATTCAAAACTCTTTTTAAAAAACATCATAACGATGAAGAAACCACAAAAGAAACAACAAAGAAACGTATCATTGAATTATCATTAAAACATAATATTCTCGGTCCTCATACAGCTTTTGTCGGTGTCGAGAAACGACTGAATGCAAGTAATGCTGATATGGTCTTGCGTGAAGTACCCATACAAATATCAACTGACGATCAACATTTATTAACTCATTCTCAAATGTATTCTAATTCATATATGCCAACGAGTATGTCTAGTGCTATGTATGATTGTGATATTGATGCATTTTGTGATTACAGTGAACCTATGGAGTCATGTTCACACCCCGAGGTATATGACTTATGTTATGCTCAATCGTATATACAGGTATTATATAACTTGTAAAAATCTTATTTAAATTTTATACATGTGTATTTCTTAGCCTGCATCAAATATCCGTTTACGAGATGAAGTTTGTGAAGACAATAGTTGTCATCTTCGAATTAATAATGTTCCAACACAGACAACTGATATATCGCTCATGAACGATGAAGATACTGTTCGGTATTTAATTCATAAACAAAAATTTGATGGTTCTTGGCAGCTAAATGAAAATGATATTCAACGCTTAACTGGTAAACCAATGACTACATTTCAACAAAAGGCAAATAATGAAATACTTATTTCTGCTATTGTTATTTCAATACTTGAAGTACGTTTT